CAAATCAAAAAGGTACTGAGATCCTAAAAATATTCGAAGAAAATGTGTTTTTTCCTAATATTCCAGGATTATAGAAGCCCTAAATCTACCACAAAACCCAGAAACCATAAAAGATTCACTTGACTCTATCCAAACCAGAAGTTTCTGCGTGACAAAAATACCATAAACAAAATCAAAAGACAAAACAACAAACCAGGGAAAAACATTTACAAAACATCCAAAATGCTTAATTTACTTTATGCATAGAGTACTCCTATAAATCAGTAAGAAAATAATGCTCCCCCCCAAAATATACACACAAGAAGGCAAAGGATGCGAAGAGACAATTCAAAGAAAAGGAAACACAAATGGCTTAAAAAGTTTCAGATATTTAACCTCCCTCCTAACAAGAGAATGCAAATGACAACAACGACCAAATACAATTTCTCACATGTCAAACTAGGAGACATTTAAAAGTATGACAACCCCCTGGGTCAGGGAGGGTGTGGGAGTGGGGCCTCACACCTTACGGATGGAAGTGTGAAAGGGCAATAAGATCTCTATGGAGAGCACTTTGACAACATCTGTCAGAATTAAAATGCAGCCCAGTTTGACCCTCCACTTCTAAAAGTTTCAGGTGTGGGGTTTCATGTGTGGGGGAGTTTCATTATATATTATGTAATAACAAAGACTGCAAACAACCGAAATGCCCCCTTGGAAGGTGACCTGTTAAATTATTACACAGAAAAGAGTGAGGGGCTCCCTGTACTGATACGCACCCATCCCCAACACAGGTGAACAAAAGGTCTGAAACAGTGTATATGAACAGCTTGTGAGAGAAAAATATATAAATGAAAATATACTTGGAATATTTCTGGAAGGATACATAAGGAACTGGTAACCATGGCTGCTTCCAAAGAGGGAAACTGGAGGCAGAGATGGCGAGAAATTTTACTTTTACTGTTTGCTTTTGGTCCCATGTGATGCATTGTCTATTTCAGTAAGTTTCTAAACACAGTCACGCACAAAGATGTTCACTGTTGTGTTGTATATAGTAGACACACGAAATAAAATCACACTAGGATGACCTACCGGTGAGTTCTTTCTAAAGATATTCCTATTGCGATGACACTGTAATTATTTTTCACCCTAATTAAATCGTACTGAGTCACTTTAAATAACTTCTAATCTTGAGCCTCAGAAAAAGAATTCAAATTACTTCCTGGGGTATTTAAACAACTCTCAGGTTACTTACAGGATAAAGGCCAGCAATCTGTGAGAATTCTTGGCGAACAGAAAAAATATGAGAAGACTGGAGATAAACAAACATCTTAAATTTCACGTACAGAAAGAGAGTGTTGCTAACGTTGATGGTAGGCAAAATTCTAGGGGTTATTCAAGGAAGTGGAGAGCACTAGAAACCAACAAGGGTTCACTCTGAACAATGCAGGATAAGATAAACCATGCAAATTACTGGGAGGAGTATTTTAAAGTTAGCAGAGTTATGTTAAGCACTGACGATCTTTCTATGCGGCTGGGGATAAAACGCAGAGCAATGAACAGCATTTGGAAGCTGAGGACCAACTTTCTGGTCCACTCAAGGCTGGTGAACTGACTTAAAATCCAAGACAACACTCAGTGTTAAGACTGCCTTGGATGGCTCAACATTCTTAATCAAAGGATATAACGGGTGAAAATGTTTTGAAAACTTTATAGGGCAGCACAAAAGAAAGGCGGTGGCATCATCATCATCATCATATTATTATTATTATTTATTATTATTATTATTATTATTATTACTATTTCGAAGGCATTGCAAATTCTGGTTAACAAATACCAGGGACCAAGGCAAAAAATAGAAATAAAAAAGATCCTAACAGGAGAGATCTAATAACCCCAAACTAGCAAGATGAAACCTACATGGTGCCCCACGTCACACGAGCACAGGCCGAGAAAGCCCTGACATAACGGGATCCCATCGAGGCCCCGAGGTAGACAGATGACACGTCCACTGAAAGCCTTAATGATCGACTGTAAGCTTCATTAGCGAAGTGTCCAATGTCTTCTCTTCTGATCAGAACACACAGGCCGTGCCTATTGTGTTCTGGGTGCCATGCTTAAGAGATACATATGCCACGTGGACCCATCAGAACGGCGAATTCTGTCCCATATGGAAGGACTGAAGGAGCTGGAGGTTTCTTAGCCAGGGGAGAAACCAGTCCTTGGGTAACCTGAGGTATCTGAGCATGTATTATATGAAGGAAAAAGAACCATTTGGAGGAGAGAGCTGCACAAACAGGCATGAGATGACCCGAGTCATGTCCACCAAAAAGCACGACTCTCTGCAAGGAAAACTAACCAGCTAACGGGGTTCGGTGCAAGGCACAGCCACGCCGGGGATGCTACCCAGGAGGGGAGAGACTCTTGTCAGTTCCAAGACCCCTTTTAACTATAACAACCTGGGACTCTATCTGCCTTGGCAGTTTCACGTGTGTAAATGCTATTATAGCCTGTGTACTAGATTATACAATATATGATATAGATATTAATGATATATATCTAGAACATGTATTTAATATAATGTAATATGTGCCTGGTGGTTCTTCTGTATCCCCCTCCCCATCTAATACCTGGGGAGAGAACTGGCCCTCTATCGCAGGGAGGCACACACCTGCTGAAGGATGTCTGATGATAAAGACATCGCACGGGGCTTCTTTGTGAGTGGGAAGATCGCGGCGCTCGGTGGGGGAAGATGGTACAAAAGGCAACTTCTCAGACCCTGAATTTTCATCCACTGACAGAAGGGGAAGGCTGCCACTTCTGCTTCCACTTGCAAGCCAAGCTGACAGGCACCTGACCTCTGGAATCAGCACCCATCACAATATGCATTCCACGTCTGTACAACTGATACAGGATCCAGCGGACACCGCCATCAGAGGAGAAAGCCGGCCTCAGTACGAGCCAAAGTGTGCTTAAAAAGCTCTTGAAAGCATTGGTTATGGAACAGAACAGTCCTTTATTTAGATCTTATTTGTGCGTGAAAATCAATATGTCCTTTTTAGTCTTTATCTTACAGGAAAATGCGTCTCTACCTATCGCCCCCAAGTGTTCACCTCCCGGACTGCCTTGTCAGCTGTACATAACTGACGCACCCCAAACCATGCTGCACACCCTCGTGCCATTTTTGACCCCCTCGAGTGCTCACCTGGAATACCTGTCCGGCTCTCCAAGGCGCCTCCATAGCCTGCTTTCAAGAACTGTTCTCTAGTTTTCTCCTCCCACCATCCACGGCAGGGTCCCCACCACTGAGACAATGATACTCTGACCCACCTCCTTGGAGGCTAACTTCCAAGTTGGCCTCCCCTGTGACCCCAGAACAGAGCACCCTCTACACACATCTGCTTCGATCTACATCATTCCTCCTGTACTTTAGAAAGAGGCTCAAAGTATTTGACAAGTTGCAAATCCTTACTTTCACAGACATACAAACAGTATTAAAATAGTCACTGTCCTTAAGTTTTCCGTGCTGGTAAACACCAACCAGATATTGACCTCCACGGATGGGAAACAGTCAAGAAACGCCTTGGCAAAGGACAGGCTGACTGGCGGGATCAAGGTGAACCAAGCTAGAAGGATCTCCCCATTAACAGCTAAGCCAGACAGTTCCCGGAGGGCAGCTCATTTCTCGCCAGGCTGGTACAAGCTGAAGACAAGGGTTATGATGATGTAAGAGTTTCATCTTACACATCCATGCGGCACAACTGTTCACTAACACACGTTTGGGGCAGGGGGGAGATACATGCACATAGATTTTTATAAACTGTCAAATTTCAGTCTTTCAGTTAAACAAAGCGTTTCAAACTCTGCCTAAAACTGCCCAGAAGTGGGAGAAAGGTCTACATTTACTTTGAAAGGCAAATTAGTTATTTAAAACACAGAAGGGGCACAAAAACACAAGTTGTTTGACACACTGGCATACAATCTCTCTTGTATGTTAAGAAATCCAGAAAACTGTAGATGTCTTAGGCATCGATTTTCTAGTACTGCCCCTTCTCCATCTCTATGACGGCCACATATCTCTGGCAAACACTCCTACTCTATTTCCCAGGATGCAGCACCTCTGCTAGAGGGCCCCCCTGGGCTGGAGCAAGTCAGATGTCCAGGTAAAGCTGGCCAGGATCTGACCTCAACGTCTGCACAAAAGGGCTGCTGTGTGACAGCAGGGGTGGTCCCGAAACACCACAAATTCTTAGCATCCTTCCTATACTCCAATGGTGTTTGCTACAGTCCCGAGAAGACACCTGAGGGAACACTGCGGTAGAGAAGTCCAACGTGAAATACGCCGACCTCTGGGGAGGGCTGAGCTTGGGGAAAGGGAATCTTCGAAAGCTGTTTGCTTCTCTGGCTACAGTTTGAGCTCTTTAGTCAGCTTTAGTCTGTTTCCAAAGCCAGCACTGGATGGCTGAGGTGTGCCCAGAAGAACACCTGGGAATAGGAACTATTCTGGCGGAGGCTATTTCTTTGTGGGAGACGTGGGGACAGCTGGCCCGGCAAAGGGCAGAGCCTGGGACCGGGCTCCAGCGGGCAGACCTTGAGTGGGGCGTCCTCCAGGGCCAGCTGGTGACAAATCAGGCCTTGCCCTCTGCGGGCCACCCCTGCCTGAATGAAGCGACAGCTCGAGGGTGGGGGAGGGAAGCTCCAGCCTTTGCAGAGGGAGGGGCGCCCCTTCCGTGTGTGCTTTGGGACAGGAGTTTGGGTGCCAACTCGGAAGGCTAAGGTGCCCCTTGGCGTAGGTAGGCAGGGCCACCGCAGAGGGCTGCCGGAGCCCGGCTTCACACCCGGGCAAACACATCTGTTTGGGGGATGGAAGGACAGCAAGCCCACGTGAGGTGCGAGGACACGCGGGCTCGTACCACTGCGGGGACCCGGGTCTGCACGAGGGCGCGGGGAAGGGCGCGAGGACCGCGGAGGGCACAACGCTCGGGAGCGGGACGCGGGGCCGGGGCGGTCGCGGCCCTTACCTTGCTGACCACGTTTTGTACCAGGCCTGTGCGGAGGCCGTAGTCCCACGCGTGGCAGTCGCAGTTGGAGGCGTTGTCCCCCTTGTCCGGAGGGGACGGCAGGGGCGGCGCGTCGCTCCCTTCCGCGCCGCTGCCGTTGCCGAGGGGGCCCGCCGTCCCCCAGGCGGCGGTGGAGAAGGGGGTGGTCGGGGGGCTGGTCCAGTTGGCCAGGTCGCCGCCGCCCCCCCGGGCCGTGACCCCAGCCGGGTCGGCGCCCTTGCCGTCCTCGCGGCACCAGAAGTTGGGCTGGTCCAAGAGGAAGGAGTCCGAGAACTGGCTGAAGCCGATGAAGAGCGCCGGGATCCAGGTGAGCAGCACAAGGGTCTTCTGGTAGCCGCCGCCCAGGCCCCCGAGGAAGGGCAGCACCGACCCGTCGTAGTCCAGCAACAGGAGGCTCGGGTGCGGGCCGCCGGCGGCGTGCGGGGCGGGCAGCGGCTGGATGTCGCCGCCGCCGCCCGGGCCCGCGCGTCCCCCGAGGGGCGCCGAGGCCGCCGCGTCCCCGGGCGGCAGGGCGCCGTTCTCCTCGGCCGCGGGCGGCAGCCGCCCAGGGACGCCGCCCGCCGCCTCGCGCCGCCGGTCTATCGCCATGGCCCGGGTTCGCGGCGCGCGCAGAGGCGCATAGAGCGCAGCGGAGGCTCCCGCGGGGCTCCGGGCAGAGCGCGCGGGCCC